AGTAATCTGATCAACTCCCATGACTTTAAAATTAAAGGAGGATCATTTTGACTTTTATCGCCTTTTTTTTAAGTTCACTAACACATTCAGGGTTTTATTTAGTTATTACTATTCTTGGTTCTTTGTAATTATTTTGCAAAATTATTAATTTTATTATTTAGTTTTTTTAGATTATTATTTATCATTATTTGATTTTATTATTAGTATTATTAGATTAATATTAAGTATTTTTATTAAATTAATAGCGTTAGATTATTATAATCTAGTGTTGTTAATATTATTAGGTTATTATTTATTTATTATTATTTTTATTAGTGTTATTTATATTACTATTAAGTATTATCTTTAAGTTATTTGCATTAGATCATCTTTACTATTAAGATAATTATTAGTTATTATAATCATCAGGTTTTTACGATTAGATTATATTTTTATCCTTAAGCTTTGATTAGGATATAGGGTATTATTGTTATTTTGTTACTATTCTTATTATTTTTAATTTTATTTTTCAAGAACAACACTAAACACATGAATAATGCAAGTAGAAATCGAATCACAATCTAACTTAAAGCTTCTTAATATGAATCAATCTAACTTATTTTTGACCTACTTTTTACACTCTAAAAGACCTAATTTTATAGAGAAAAAATCATCCATAATTTTATAGATTCACAGAAAAAGTTTAGAGACACACGGAAGAAGAGAAAACTCTCCCCAAATTAGGAAGGACCTTACCAAATCAAACATAAATAGAACAATGGAGCTTACAAGCTCGAGAACTTAGAAGGATTAGAAATGCCGAGGATTTATAATGTTTCCAACCTTAGATTTTATTACACTTAAACATTATGTATTATTATTTGAATAAAAATTATGAGGAACACTTTTTTTTCCCTTGAAAGGGTAAGGGTTTTTAATGAGGCACCCTTAATTCATATGATTGTGCGTCATTTTTACATAAAAGCTAAGCTCGTTCCAATGGCGATGAATATCGTAAGCATCACCTCTGACCTATGAAACCAGTTATGTAAATGAGAAAATTTTGGCCGAGTTAAGTTAATAAAACCTTTGACCTATTAAATCAGCTATGTAAATGAGAAACCTCTGGTCGGGTTAAGTTAATAAAATCTCTGACCTATTAAATCGGCTATGTAAATGAGAAACCTCTGGTCGGGTTAAGTTAATAAAATCTCTGACATATTAAATCAGATATTTAGATGGGAAACCTCTGGCCGGGTTAAGTTAATAAAACATATGACATATTAAACCGGCTACATAAATGATAAACCTCTAGCCGAGTTAAGTTAATAAAACCTATGACCGGGTTAAGTTAATAAAACCTTTGGTCGGGTTAAGTTAGTAAAACCTCTGGCCTATTAAATCGGCTATGTAAATGAGAAACTTCTGGTCGAGTTAAGTTAATAAAACCTCTGACCTATTAAATCGGCTATGTAAATGAGAAATCTATAGTCGAGTTAAGTTAATAAAACCTCTTGCCTATTAAATCAACTATGTAAATGAGAAACCTCTGGCCGAGTTAAGTTAATAAAACCTTTAACCTATGAAATCAGATATGTAAATGAGAAACCTCTGGCCGAGTTAAGTTAGTAAAATTTCTGACCTATGAAATCAACTAAGTAAATAAGAAACCTATGGTCGGGTTAAGTTAATAAAACCTCTGATCTATGAAAATCGGCTAAGCAAATGAGAAACCTCTGGCCGGGTTAAGTTAACAAAACTTCTAACCTATGAAATCGGCTAGGTAAATGATAAGCCTCTGGCCAGGTCATAAAAACCTTTGGCCAGGTTGTGACATGAGTAATCGTCCAAATAAATAAAGACCTATGGTCGGAGTGTGATGACAAATCATCTAATTAGAAAAACGTGTCACAAAAGTCTCTTGTCGGGCTATTAAACATAAGGATCGAATGAAAGGTCAGAAGAACCTCTTTGTCAATCAAAGATCATGTTGTCTCCATCAGAATATATCCACGAAACATGATGGTGAAGATTGTGAGTCAATTTTACTATCAGGTAAGTGGGGTCTCACCATAAACTTCCCTAATAATCTGGTCAAACTCCGCTCGACTCATGACCCCCACATTCTCTCATGCATTCATTCTAGATTTTATCTCACTCATTAACAGTAAGGGAAATTGAAAATTATCCTAAATCATCACAATTTCTTATTATAACCATATTAAAGAATAAGAAAAGAGAGAAGGAAAGGAAGAAATACATGGAGCTTGAGTTTGTAAAAAGAGCAGTTGATTGGGGAAGCAAAGGAAACTTGTCAGCAACACCAGAAAGTGGATCACTTACTTTGATGAAAAAAATGAAGAAAAAAGTCTCTTTATTGAAACAACTTTGCAACAGTCAAGAAGTTGTATCAAACTAGAATAATGATGATAAGTAAGAATCCCCATAAAAAATACCATCATGACTAGGAGAGAGAAAGTTAGCTTACAACGATAACTTACCGAATAAGTGATTGGCATGAATTCCAAAAATTTCTTTTCCGAAGACTTCAATCCAATCATATCTCGTGAATAAGGGACTTATGTACATCCCAGAATTTTCAAGGGCCGAACTTTTATAAGTCGAGTACAAAGAATGGACAAGTTGGATAACTTGATCCTAGGCAAGTCGGAACCCAGCCAAAGTAAAGTATTATTGCAAAATCAGAGCAAGTTGGGTTCGACCTCATATTGACTAAGGTAGCTGTCTAAATCAGATTCAGTCTTTTGAAGGTGTTAGAAGACAACATAAATAGTCACATGTGACGATTACGAAACACCTCCATAATTGCATGTGAGTTATAGAAATTGATGGAAGAGGCGTTATTGGGAGCATTAGTGAGAACACTGGACATTACCCGAGGTTACTTTAACATAAGAAATGAAGGGGCGTCCCTTTAATGACCCTTGATGCATGAATAAAGAATCGAGTGAATCAGATTGACAATTATGCGTTATAGTTATGCCATTGTTGCTCAAAGTTTAGTTTTTTCTATTGTGTTGCTATGGGGAGAGAAAAAGCATCTGGTGATAGTGTGAAAGAAGAAAAAGAAAATAATGGTATAATAATTTTAATCCGGATAAGATATTATTGCATTTTACATATCTTATTAAAAGACATTGGCCACACAAACCTCATTAGAGAATGATAGATTGAAAATATGTAATGCTGAAACTTACCAACAAAGATGTTTAAACAGGTTATAAAGGAAAATAAGTGATTACTTCAAATATTTTAAAAATAATCTAAAATGATTCTCTCATAAAATTTTAAAAGAGCAAACTCCAATGTAAAATAATTCAAAGATATATATAGTGCAAAAATTAATTCCATAATAACATATAATAATACAAAGATTCTGTAATAAAGCCTGAGAGTCAGCTTACTAAGGATATAGCTGCAAACATTTTCAACCAAATGCAAAGTCACAATAGGAAGTAGGAACTACCTCTAATCCACATTAACATAATATCTTATATCTGATTATTTCCCTCCTTCAAATGAAACCACAATGATACAATACAGTATTAATCTTTCCATTCAAATGTGTACGCAGACGATTGGACAGAAATTGAGCGCGCTATCAATGCTCATGCTTGAATGAAACTCTTGAGCTTATTCAACCACACCAAGTATTCTCTGCTATCCTTGTTGATCATGTACTCGTGCAAGAAATTTGTCGTGCTTGGTTTGATTCCCCTTATTTCTAAGTACTTGTGGAATGTCTTTTGCAGGCTCTCATCCAAATCCCTGTAAAAAATTGGCAGAATCTCAATCAAACATTGCCTTACCTACGACATTAGTTGAAAACATATTCCAAAACCACAATCTGAACTGCAACATAAATACCATTTATGCCTCACCAACAATGCAATAGAGGTTAGCAACAAAAACCAGTATTGTCAACCACAGATTGCAGAAGCTAACAGTTTAAAAACAGTGACACAACCATGGTTTAAAACATTGAACGCACATATTTATAAGCAGATTAAAAAAATCAGACATACTGGAAATCTGGTCCTTCATAAGGAATCTGATCATCAGAAACATCGGGATTCTTAACAGACAAGCTATCAATAACAATCTCTTCCGGATACGCAACACAACTGAACTCCAACGAAGGTCCACCCTTCTTAGCAACACTCACTGAAAGTGGAATGCTTGATTGAGTTGCTCTCTCGCTCTCATCGTCCTTATCATCATCCTCATTCCCATGTTCATCACCAGTAACCAAATCAGGCGTATGAACCTCAACCTTAATCTCCTCACCTTGATAACTCCTTTCAAGCGTTATTGTCTGTTGTCCTGGATTATCAATTATCTTAAACGGAAAATTACTCGGAACCTCCTCAGCCTATATCAACCCAACCAAACCAAAATCAAATTTTCATCATTTCACATCATTTCACAACGTAAACAATAATAATTATCATAAAACAACATCAATTACTACTATCATCAAACGAAACTTACATCGCCGGTTTCTTCAGTTTCCTGAGCATATGTGATTTCCGATTCAATGACACGGAGAAGATTCTCATCTGATGAAGGCTTGCTCTTGACAGTTACAGAAGAAAAGTGAGACCTAGGAACAAAGGAATTGTCGAACCTGTTGGCGGCGGCGGAAAGAGCGGCGCGATGACCCGGTTGGGTTTTTCTTATCAATTGACCCGCAGAAGCAAAAGCCCTCGCGAAAGTACTCGACTTGTTGCGAAGAATTGAATTGAACGCCATTTCTGCTTATTTTCGAGAAAAAACAACAGAGGAAGGGTTTTACTAGGGTTTTAGAAATACAGGTAGGTACTGGGCCTGGTTGTTCACTTTGAGCCCATTATAGTTATTGGGCCGGCCCATCTTAATTGTTATTTATAAGCCCAAATCTAATTTCCCCTCCCTCGCAATTCATTTCCCGCTCTATGTAAAAACCCTAAAACCCCATTTTTTAACAAAGTTGAACTGAGAAGAATACACAGAGAAGCAAAATGGGACAGAAACAGAAGCAGGTTTTGCAATCGGATCCCGATAACGAAAACTCCAAGCGACGTCGTGTTGCATTTACCGGCATAGGTGAGTTTTTTTGGAAACCTTTTTACTTCATTCTGTTGCGAGTTCTACAAATTTTTTCTTTTGTTAAGGATATGAAGATGCTGGAGTCGAAGCTAAAGACTGCATCAGAATCTTTCTTGGTATGATAACACTTTAAATGTTGTCACTTTTTCTGTGATTTTGCAATTGGCTTGGGTTTTATTGGGTTTGTTATTATTGTACAGTCTCTAGCAAAGAAGAGTTCGAGGATCCGGAAAGTTTTGTTATCAATCCAGTGGATTTGAATAGCTATTTTGATAATGATGGGAAGATTTTTGGTTACGAGGGATTGAAGGTTGGATTCATTTTAATAATGAATAGGAAATTATTTTTCTGTATATGTTTATTTATGCCGTGATGATGTTACATGGTGTATGGTGTTTTTAACTTCAGCTTGTTTGGATTTTTTTTTGCAGATTAACATCTGGGTTAGCAGGATATCGTTCTATGCATATGCTGATATTGTGTTTGAGAGTTTGTCTGATGTAAGTTCTGAATTTGTTTAGTCTTACAACTAATGGAAACATGGTTTATATTCGTTATTTACAGTATTGGTTAATTCATTGTTATTTGTGGCCTGACGTTTTATTTCAATGTGTTGTTTGATTGTTTAAGCGAGGCAAAGGGGTCACAGATCTTCATGAAGCTCTTCAGGTATGCACCGATGTTGACTGTTTGGACAATTGTTATGCTTAGTACTTTTAACATGATGCCCTTTAATTTGGTTTTTATTTTGTGCAGTCGATTTTTGCTGAGACTCTTGTTAAGAGCAAGGATGAATTCCTTCAAAAGTATTTGGGGGACATCAATTTTGTTAGGTATGAAGATTTTGCTGCTTTTTCTAGTGTAATAATAGTACCTTTACTTGGTTTAAGAATACTGTATAGACTGTTGATGGTTATTTTATTTGGTTTATAGATCAAACATCTCGACCGGGGAGGTTCTGAAGGACAAAGCTTTCAAGCAGGCTGATTCAGATGCTTCTAATGTTGAGGTTGTAATTTGCATTTAAGCTCAATATAATGCCTAATTTAAAACTTTAATTTAAAAATCATTATTCATATACATGTTGCATGTCATATGAGTTGAGCAACCATCTAATTGAATTGTTATTTCAAGACATGTTGTGAAGAGAAATAGAGTGATAGAATAGATCTATTATCATAATGTGTACCGTTCCCTATTGACCATCTGTTCTCTGTATGCATGTATATGAATGTCATGTATTCTGTGGCTGCCAATTTCTTACTCAATCCTATTGGCATTAGTAGATTATGCCAGCCCGATTTTTGTTAAGCCAACATTACATATGAGTAGACTGATACCCTTTTTTGTCTGTGACAAGTCATCTTCCTTTTTTTTTTAAATCTTAAGCTGTTAAATGCATGATATCATTGATTCGTCTAGTAAAGTTGTATATGGTGTTCAGTTTTCAAATTTAAATATAACAAATAACTTAAGTTTGAACGTTGCTTTACGGAAAACGTCCAGCTAAAGGAGTTTCTTTAAAAAAAACAAGTTTAAAAGTTTGTCTTTGTTATCCTTTGAACTTCCCTTGGATGTATTTATGTATTTTCTCTGTACATGCATATTTTAAGAATACCATTTTGATGTATATCTCTTGGATCCCAGGTTGTTCGTTTGGTGGCAGGCAACATGCCTACCGGACAACTTTACTGTCATATTATACCCCTTGTTCTTCTCCTCGTTGATGGTAATTTTCACTTATTTCACTACACTGTACCCCTGTTTTATGCAATGTTTAGATTGCATGCTGCTGTAGTTTTTCTTTTAAACTCTGTCTCATATAGGTAGCAGTCCCATTGATGTTACTGATCCACAATGGGAGTTGTATGTCATGGTTCAGAAGAAAACTGATCAGCAGGGAGACATCCAATATTTGCTGCTTGGATTTACTGCTGTTTATCGCTTTTACCACTATCGTGGTAACTCCCGATTGCGGCTGGGTCAGGTTTGTTATCTACAGGATGTTCATTAATAGCTGATTTGCTCACAAAATCAGTTTTAACTTTTGACTTGTATCACATTATTAGAATACTCAAGTTATATTCTTATGTTGATTGTAGATTCTGGTATTACCTCCGTATCAGCACAAGGGTTATGGTCGTTTCCTTATTGAAGTGCTAAATGATGTTGCCATATCTGAAAACGTTTATGACCTAACTGTAGAAGAGCCGTTAGATAACTTCCAACATGTCCGTTCTTGTATTGACACACAACGCCTACTTGGTTTTGAGCCAATCCAGCCTTTAGTTACCAAGGCTGTTTCATTTCTAAAGAGTGGAAGACTATCAAAGAAAACACATTCTCCTCGACTCACGCCACCTCCCAGTTATGTTGAGGAGGTAAGGAAAATTTTGAAAATTACCAAGACACAGTTTCTCAAGTGCTGGGAGGTTTTGATCTACATCGGCCTCAACCCTACTAACAAGTACATGGATAACTTTGTCAGCGTTATTTCTGAACGTGTCAAGTATGATATTTTGGGGAAAGATTCTGGGACTTCTGGGAAGCAACTTATTGAAATACCTTGTGATGTTAATCCAGAGGCATCGTTTGTCATGTTCAAATCAGGGGCCGGTGAAGATATTATTACTGCACAGATGGATGACAATCAGGCAAACCAAGAAGAGCAACTCCAGAAGTTAGTTCAGGATAGGGTGAAAGAAATTCAGTTGATCGCCAAAAAGGTAACCTCGCATCTTGAGAGTTCAGAGGTGTCTGTTAAATAAATGTCTTTCGCAGTTAGTTGTACAATCATATAAATTGTTATCTTGTCACGCATTTCTGACACTGGCAATGAGCAAATTAAGATGACTCCTTGGAGTCACAGTCGGTAATGTATTTTGGTTCATTTTTATGATATAAGCTGTTCTTGTGATTTTTGCATCATAGGCTGTGAAGGAACCATTTGATGTAGCCAGCCTTGAGTTGTTATAACTGAGATTAATTGCAGTGAAATTGATTGTCGACATCAAAGTAATGTAATCTTGTTCTTATAATCATGCATGCACGAGTTTGGTACAATCAAGGAATATATTAAGGTTTAACCTTTACTTAATGTAAAATATTATCACGCAACGTGCTAGAGCTCTAGGTTTTCAATTTGCTGCTATTTTCTTGAGGAAGGCATGTTTGTCCAGTACAAAAACGTCGACTTACTCAGTCACATGAATGTAAAGAGCCTGTAGTCTATTTTGAACTTAATGTGCATTTGCAAGTTTTTTTAGCTCAATTATCAATATGAAAAAAATCTTCACGACATTTTTGAATTTTAGTTTTTCAAAATAACTATGTTTTTCAATAAAATTTTCCATATTTCCAATGTAAAGAATAAGCCAATTATATTGACGACTATATTGGTATCGCTTAAAGAATAAGCCAATTTGTGTTGGCGATTGCATTAACACCCCTTATAGGCCAAGATTTGGCGTTTATGTATTAGTGCTAGGAGGTGCAGAACATGAAGAAATAGAACCTAAAATTTATGGAAATTGAATTTAAATTAAGAATGCTTTGAATGGTAGAAATTGAACAAACAATGGCGTAATTGCATAAACACACTTGAACTATTGTTTGTCCTCAAACAACTTAGCTTGCATAAAAGGATTGTAAATGCAACAACACACATAAAAAGAGCTTATGAAAAATACTAACATTAATACTCATTCTTGCTCTGAAATTCGGATCCAATAGATGTCAAATTTATCGGTACTCAAATTAGCACAAGGGTATTGTAAAAACACAAGTTACAAATTACAAACTAAAGAATTCCACTTAAAATACCAATTCAAACCATGGCCTTGTGCCTAAGTCTCATTATCCAAAAATTTTCATCTCCGGACAATCATATTAAAGCATTTAATATAAAGAAAATCATCGCATACACATTAGGAAAAATTGAAGATTTTTTATTTCTTTATTCGTTAATGCTTGCCTATTGATTTTTTATCATAAGCACATTAAACACAAATTATTATTATTTTTTAGTTGACATTAGAGTTTAACCACCGCTGAATTAAGTAACTAGGTGAGGGTTGTCAAACTTAATAGGTGCAATTGCCTTTTATTGCATTTTTTTCATGTTTTTTTCAAATTTTTCTTGGCTAACCAAACTTAGTGTGAGTCAAAAAAAAATGTCTATATGTACAAATAAGCTACTCAGAGATTACTTCAAAAAGGACCTAGAGACTATCAACAAAACAAATTTAAATTGATATCTAATTTGGGAGACCTTAAGTGTTGAGACTATTGTTAAAAAAATTTCCAATGTCCTTAACATTAGCTTTTCTTCTTTTGAAATCGATATACTTCCTTAGTTCAATATTGATCATAATTTTTTTCAAAAAATTTGAATCGGTTCAAGAAATAGGCAAACATACAAAACATGCAGAAATCATATGCATAAATGCCTCCACAACACATTCAAATGACTCAAACTAATTAACAATTAAACTGCAGAAAACATAAAGTTCCAAACTAAAAAGTGGAGAAATATTAAACTAGAAAATAATAAATCTCCCCACTTAAATCCTACATTGTCCTCAATGTTAAAGGATAAAAGGAAGAGAAAGAAAAGACAAATCATCCATGAACGCATACGCCTGATCAAATAATGCTTCAGGCGTTCTCGATGATCCCTTTCTACCTCTCTATCATTGCATGCTTGTTTCTTAGCCCACAAGTCCGCTACTTCGTGTCGGAGAGCATTAAGCTCATACGCGACATTGCTCTGATAATCATACTAGGTATCTGCAGGAAAATTATAATGCATATGAGGAGGGGTTTGGGGCTGGTGTACAGGAGGATATGGGGATAAATGCGGGTAAGATGGGGATGTTGACATATCGGGTGGAAAGAGCTTCTTTCTCCAGTCCATCTCCACATCAGTGTCTGCAGCACCCTCGTCAACATCAGAATGGACGTCGGTATCCACTCAATATAGAAAATTTGCCTCATCTTTTACGTTGGTGGTTGTTAGGTTCGGCAACACCGCGTTTCACACGCTATTGCTTCTAATCATGAGGACATATTTGTCTCGGCCTCTCATCTTAATCGGCTTCTGCAACAAAAAAGAAGTCAAGTATAACGCGATGCTACCTACAGTATGTTGTAGTTGGCTAATCTGAGCGCTGAGGCCTAATGTCACGGCTATAGAAGTAAACAACTCGTTAATCACAATGTCTACTCTCTTCGCCCCGACCATTTTCTCCATGTGTGCGAGCATATATGACGTGGTATGGAAATGGTGAGAATGAAGAGTGCGGTAAGTAATGTAGAGTTCTTTCATGTTAAAATTACCAACGCTATCAACTTGACCAAATATGGTATGCACAAGGACTTTTTGGAAATAACGGATGGTCGGTTTGTAAATGCGGGCATAATTTTTCTCTTCCATGTTACAGGAAAATTTCTCGGTCAGCCGCTGCTTGAATGCGCCAAACTCAAATGTTTAGGGTCCCTCTATTAGAACCATTTGGGCGGCACCAGCGGCTGTATGAAAGTGCAGCAAGTCCCAAATTTCGTTTAGGTTATACTTAAATTTTTTATTAGACAACCTAAATGTAGTCGTACTGAAACACTACCTATTTCTCATATCATACATAGGAGTGTATACGGGTTGAGTTGGACTGGATTTGGCATAACCCGTTACCCAACACATTCAAACTTCAATGGGTTGGATTCTTCATCCAACCCAGATTTTATTTGTCAAAACCGACCCCTTCATTTAATGGGTTTGGTTGAGTTGGGTTCGCGGGTTATGTTTCAAATAAAACATATTTTTTTAATAATTTTTTTCAGTTTAAAAAAATTGAAACATAATTGAAACAATTATAGTCATTTCTAACACTCAAATTCGATAAAACACATCATATAATATCTAATAAAATTCATCTACACGATATAACACTTGATAATAGTATAAAATTCAACAATACACGTTATTTCTATAAAATACATAAGTTGAAAATGATACAAAATAAAATAAGAAACAACACTTAATCTTAGAATTACGTAAACTCATTGGTCTATTAGTATTATTGGTGGAGAATATATTTTTTTTTGGAAAAACTATGTTTGTTAGTGAGATATTAATTTTATAGTTTTATTTAAAATAATAATAGAAAAAATAAGAATTACTAATGCCACATCAATTGATTGGGTCAACAGGTCTACGGGTTGCGAAACTCAAACCCGATACCCAAACAAAAACTATACATGTTTTTACAGGTTGGGTTGGGTATACCCACAAATGAACGAGTTCGGGTAATTTATAAATTGGTTCGATTTGGTTTATCGGGTTCCCGGTCTACCCGCACCCATAAACACCCCTAATCATACATGTATTTAACAGAAATGTGAAATTGAAGCATGAGCCTCTCGTACGTTGGATGTTTCAGAGTCAGAAAATGACTTCAACCTATTTGGTTGAACATCCAATTAACATTGTCAAACAGACTTAGAGATCTAAGGCAAGACTAATCAGCATACCTGATAGGTGTTATATGCATATGACGAAGCTTTTCGAACCGCACCCACTGTTCCTTGTCTCTGAATTCTATTCCATGTAATCATCAGAAACATTTTCACGACTTTGCCCAAATACAAGGAGCCGCCTTGCAGAGTCTATCTTAGAGGCATTGTGAAATTTGATTTTAATGGCTAGAGGTGTTGATTTTTTGATTTTTGAGGGGGTGAAAATGGTGATGGTTTTTGTTTATTTAGGTATGGTGGTGTTTTTATGAAGGTTTATTGATGAGTGGATGTTTTTTGTTTTTAGTTTTGATGGAAATGGATGTTGAGGTTTTATGTTAATATGGTTTTGTTTGTGTGAGGAAGATGAAGTTGAGTAAATAAGAGGAGAAAAAGAAAAGAATTGTTGCGTGATATACAATTTTTGTAAGTGAGAAAAGTGAGGAACTTCGGGTTTTAATGAAAAGGTTTGATGGTGATTGATGGGAGGGAAGATCGATAGCTTTTTGCATTTTTTTAGGCCTCAGGTTTCGCGCCCAATTTCTGCTAACGAGCATCAGCATGCATGACGGTCTGAGCGTCGGCAGCTCAAGCGGAAAAACATGCTTAGAATGTGGAATTCGAAATCACGACACCCGTCATCATTGGCTGACAGGTTAAGCGTCATTAACTCGAGGGCCACACTTTATTTTCCACACAGAACTTCAAATTGTAATGATCGTCAAAGTGATAACGACCGTCATCTTTGACCTATGCATCTTCCTCCCATCGTTGGCTGACGGGTTAAGCGTCATCAACTCGAGGGTCACACTTTTTTTTCCACACAGAACTTCAAATTGTGACGATCGTCAAGGTGATAACGACCATCATCCTTAACCTATGCATCTTCCTCCATATTTAGCTCACATGACGCTTAAATTTATGACTTTTTTCATAATAACTAATCTCTTTTATTTTCTTAAGTAACTTACTAAAAACGTGAATGAAAAAAACTCATGGGTTGCTTCTCACGCAATACTTTGTTTAATTTCGTTTAACTCGACTTTTTAACTTCTATAACTTCTAAGGGGGCGAATTAGTCACATATCTTTTTTAGTCTCTCGCCCTTTAAAAATAGTCGCCTTCAGTTAAAGGACTCACTCATAGTTAAGGGACTCGCCCCTTTTGATATGAATAGCGGAAGAACTCACGAGTAAGGTGAGGGGCGCAATTTGAATGAGAAAGACGCTTAAAAGCACTTCACTCGTAGGCATTCCCT